GGGAAGTTGAAATACAGATACATTTAAAAAAAAAAAAAAAGCACCTAATAACTGCACCTAATGCGTAGATGATGTAAGGGGTGATTGATTTATGCACCGAAACAAATGCAAACCTCTTCAAAAGATTTGTTTATTTATTGGTAAATGCTAGCCATTTCCGGTGTTCTCTTCTCATTTTTAAGCTATTTTAAAAAAATATATGTACATATATGTGTATATAGGTAGGTGTCAAAAATAAGATAATTGCTTAAAATATACAACTAGAACTTTGTTTCGTTGCTCTGGTAGGATTATTACTATAGTTACGGTGTATGTATATATATATGTGTGTATAAGTAGGTGTCAAAATTAAGATAATTGCTTCTTTTTTTTGGTCTGATAAGATTATTACTATAGTTACGGTGTTTCCGGAAAGCCCGACCATTTACGTTTTGAAGGAGAGTAACGTTTGTGCAGTGAGTATGTTATTATGTTCGCAATACATACTTAAATACATAAATACATAAATAAATACACCGTATCGTGTACGTAATGTTTAGTGCGAGTGACTAAAGGAATTAAGGAACGATGCGTCGTAAAAAGGTCTGTTTCGTACGTTAAACGGGTGAGTTGGGGGGTTTTTGTTCTTTCTTTTTTTTTTTTTTTACCCCCTTATAAAACCTGTTGTTTATTGTTCCTCCACCATCTGATAAACGGTCACAGTGGATCAACCGCTCTCTCCGTAGTCAGTCACGTGGCTGAACTACGAAGTCCTATACATACATACATACATACATACATACATACATACATATATACATACATACATACATATATATGCAATATTAATCAATACAAAATATTAATTCATTGTATTTTATTAGTGTTAGTGTTTCGACGTCCTGCGTAACACACGCAGGACGTCGAAACACTAACACAACAAAACCACAAAGACAACAACAAGGCGAGAAGAAAAAAAAAAAAAAAAAAAACACCACTCAGCCCTGCTGTGCGCAAACTCTCTAAATGGGTCTCGGACAGTCGGGGGGAAAGTGTTGTTTTTGTCGGTTTGTTGGAGCGTTGGCACAAAAGGCCGCAGTTGTAATTGTCAGTGCCGGTGTTGGCCTCTCAAGGCTCTTTTCAGGCCGAGTCAGCGGGTGAACGGTGATTGTCTTTCCAGATATTGACTCCCCTCGGTTGGTCCTGCGAAGGTAACTATTTTAAAAAACACTCCCAGCCGTGTGTATGTGTGTATGCAAGAGAGAGAGAGAGAGAGAGAGAGAGACTATGTGCGTATCTGTATCCCACTAACATAGTTAACGCAAAACTGTGTAGGAAAAGGCAATTGAAAATCTATCACCTCTGTGAGAAAAACCGCGAAAATCGTAAAACACAAAATTTTGAAACAAAAAAAATGACTATGAATTTGAATGAATATGACGGATTAGGATTAGCATGTGGATCATTTTTTTTAATTAAGAGAAATAATGTAATAATAATGAACATATAATAACAACACAACAACAACAACTAATAATAATAACAATAACAACAACAACAATAATAATAACAACAGACATGTCATTATCAAATTCAGTTGATTTTCCCAAAGCGCGAAAAAAAAAAAAAAACAGCCACTAATGGACTGGAAACAAAGACTCACTTCAGCCGGGCCGCCCGGGCTAAATTGCCAGGGGCAACAGAGTTAGCTCTGTGCTGTTGTTAATTGCTATCACATGTAACCTTACCTGTTGTCCAATTAGCCCCATGACTCGCTATTAGGGAGATTCCACGAGCTGTAGGCCAGTGACCGAGGGCATCTCTGAGCTGTTATGTGTGAGAAGGGGGGGGTAATAACAATAAGAGCAATTCTACGCCGTGAGGAAAAAATAATCATGGAAGTGAACTTTACTATAGTTGAGATCCTCTGTTTTTATGTTTATATTTTTAGATCAACTGCAGTACAAGGTTTTTTTTAAAACTGTATTGTGTTCTTAAGCACAAGGCAGAAATATAACGATAATATAAATGAATTTATTATAGAATCCTTTGGAATAAATTTGCCGGCCCGATTAAAAATCTCAGCGGGCCGCATCTGGCCCCCGGGCCTTAGTTTGCCCATGCCTGCGCTGGCAGTATAATGGAAGATTAAGACCCAGGAACACAACATTAACAATAATTAATTGATGTTTTACATAAAATTATAAGTTAGGCATGGGTGTCATGTGTGCTGGTATTTTTTTTTTTTTTTGGTGGAATTTATTTGTTTGTGTTTAGATTTATTTTAAACAACAATGTTAAAACTATAATAGAGCCACATTACAGACTTATTTTTAGCATGTAGAGCTACATGATCTCTGTTTGTAAATGCCCAAAAAACTGTTGCATCCAACTCACAGTACCTCCTAGCCCCGTGCACCTGCAGTGCACGTAAGCTAGCAGCTCCGTTTACTTTTGGTTTCAGTTGAAGTTATCAACCGTCGCTGCCCAAGCCTGAGCCAGACTGAATCAGGTTGTCGACTGACTTACGGGACTGAACGGGATTCCGACGCCAGAAGGCGCCAAACGAAAGAGAATCCAGAATGAATTATTAAACCTGCAGTAATATGACTCATCAGAATAAAAGTTGTGCGAGCTAATAAGTGTTTGATGATTTTCGTTGGGTGCTCAGTGATGGATGACCGCACCAGCTGGTGCACGGAGCTCTGGT